TGAGTCTTGACTCTGAATTCTTTCCTAGCCAGAACTCAACTACCAAGGTTACCGAACCCACGTCGGGTCTGACCCCACTGGTCTAACACCTGGTTGCTTGCTTCCACTCCATTTAATTCTTTTTTTTTTTTGGAGATTTCTTCTGTTCTTTCATTTGTGACATGTTTCTTTGTCTCCACATTTTGGCTGCTTCCCTGTGTTTGTTTCTATGTATTAAGCAGAGCTGCCTCCTGCACTCACACCAAACCTGCAATCCAGGTACTGCCCTTGACTGGGAATCGAACCTCAGCCCCCTCAGTACTTGGGCAGATGCTCTAACCATTGGACAACACTGGCAAGGGCTAGGCCTGGGTTGCGTTTCAGCTCCAGACCCAGAAAAGCAGCAAAACCAGGTGGGTGACACCAGGACCGTGTACAATGACTTAGGTCCCTGTCTCAGCACTGACCAATCCGTGGAGACCATGGCCCTGAAAGGGCACACCTGAAAAAACTGATGAATATTCTATTGAGATCCTCCCTAAACTCCCAGTCTTTAAAACAAAGGATCCAGCACACACCTCCTGGGAGCACATCTGAGCCTTGCCCTTCCCCTTTTCCTTCCCCCACAGGTGTGCATCTCCTAAACTCTAAGGCACCCCAGGGGACTTGCAACCAGGGGAGCAATGGGCAGTGGCAGCTCATCTCAGGCTAACCCTCTGAACCTGTCACCACGGCCCCCTTTTCTCTGCCTTTCCAGTGAGCTGACAGCTTCGCCACCCAGGTCCATTTCGTGCCTATAACATTTCTAGAGAGCCGAAGCAGCCCACCTAGGCTCCTACTGTTTCTCCCACCCTAGGCCCTTTCTTGTTTCACTGTCCCCAGCTTTAATAAATGTACTCTCAACATCACCTGAACTTGTGTTATGAAATCTCTTCTGTGTGAATCATGAACCCACACACTACTGGCAGAACCCACACACTCAGGGCCAGGTCTCCTTTCAGGGAACACTAAGAGCAGGAGATTGAAATATGACTTAGACTGAAGCTTAGTTTGGAGGGGGAGAGACATATACGTTGTATAAAGAACAAAAATTCAACTGAGCACATTTAAAGATCTAATTGGCTTTATTGAACAATTCTTGAATCCGGGCAGGTTCCCATCTAACAAGGATGATAAGGGAGGGGTGAGCAGAGGTGGAATTACCATCAAGTTAATATAGATTAAGCTTCAGGATGTCCTTGAAAGTCTTGTATCTATTTTTTGTCATTTAATTTTGATGTCAGTTTCTTAAAGAGATCCTGAAAATGATTAAGCCTCCTCCATCCCTTCATTCCCAATGTAATCATGCCACAGAATAGAACAGCATAGGTGTGGCCGTTCACGTGAACCGAGCACGGTAATAGTGGTGCACTCTGAAGGCCAGGCTGCTAAAATCTACTCCCGCCCCATGAAAAATTGATTTTACATTTAGTGGCACTGCTCTGCTTTGCAGCTTACCCTCTTAGACTGCAGGAAACCTTTGCCCAGGAACAGCCACATCACTCCTAATAGCTTCTTGGACCTTGGCTTCCAGATCTCATATCGTTGAACTATTCTTTACTCAAATCTCTCTCAGACTTGGCATTCCACACCCATAATATAGCTCAATCTCATCTGGACTCCCAGCCAAGTGATGCTCCCAGTCGTGCCCTCGCTGGCAGAGATTAAGGTTCATGTTACATTACACTAATACATCCGAATGTATGATGTTTATATGATTTATGCCTAAACTGGTTAATAAGTATCTACCATGCAACCCTCCAGAGAGAGAAGGTAAGGCTAATAGATTAGAATGACACAATAAAAAGATACCGCTGAGTTTCCCACTTTCTGAACTCCATTCTTTATTTTACACAACTTGGTTGAAATAGGTATGTGAATTTTGTCTAATGGCTTTCCTTGGAAATACCTAATTTTACTTTTCGTAAATCACAGAAACTTAAAAGCAGAAGAAATTCTAGATCTCACATAGCTCAGTCTTCCATGGAATTCATGAATCCTAACCACAATATACGTGGTCCAACAGAGACATCATCTAACTCTTGTCTAGATATATCGCATGGTGGTTCATTCAACTGAATGATAGGAAAACTACCTCTTGTTAGGCCAAAAGTAGTTAGTAGACGCCATTGTGTGCTGCCCTTTAAGGGGCATCCACAGAGCACCCTCCAGGGAGGGGCTCTGCAATCATAAATCCAGTCTGAAAAGCTTGGAGTAATTCCAGGACAATCCATGCAGCCTTGAATAGACAAGATAGGGTCAAATCTAAGATAACATGAGACTGAGATATGACTTTGAGGAAATATGAGTTGATGATAGTGGTTATGGGTAACATTTACAGAGTATTACTATAGGTCAGAGGTCACTCAGGCACCACTTAGGTGCTTTATATTTTCTAGCCATTTATTTCTCACAATATTTTCATGAAGAATAGTCTTCATTTTCCAGTTGTAGAAGCTGAGGCACAGAGTAACTAATGCAAAGTCATGCAGCTAGTAAGTGAAAGAGCTAGGATTTGAATCCAGGCCAATGGGACCTGGAGTCTGGCCCCTTAACCACTACAGCAGACTATCTTAATAATTGTTAACCAGTTGAGAATGTCCAAACCACGCACCAGGTGTCATTTACTTATTTGATCCTCATAAGAGCAATCCTATGAAACATGAATGGTTATAGAACATAAGTAACTTGCCCAAGGTCCTGCAGCTAGTGAGTATGTACTGGAGTTGGTATTCAAACCCAGGTAGCCTAGAGCTCTAGATCTGATGCTCTCCCAATGTAATCTGCCAGTTTCTGCTTTCAGAAAGGGAGTGGGACGTTTGTAGATACCTGAATGTTTACTGTCAACATGTATAATGGAGGTACAAGTCGAGCAGGCAAAGAAAGGTCCATTTAAAATTCTACCCATTGGATTCCTTTTCTGAACAGCTTTGTGTGTGTGTGTGTGTGTGTGTGTGTGTGTGTGTGTGAGAGAGAGAGAGAGAGAGAGAGAGAGAGCGCGAGCGAGCTATGTAGGTTTCATGGTACATGAAGGACTTAAAAATGCCCTTAAATACTGAGTAAGTTGTGCTGAATATTATGCAATACATGCAATACAATTAGCCAATTTTTCAGAAATCCATAAAATAAACTTCTTAACTAAGACTGAAGGCCTTTGGATTCCATATTTAGTTATTTTTTCATTCAGAGAAAAATGAAATAATGACCAAATAAATGTTTAGAAACGCATATTTGCAGAGGAAATTTACAAGTTTTTTTTGAAAAAAAAAAAAGGATTCATTTGCAAAGCAAATATTTTAAATATTCAATGCTTGTTAGCTGCAGTCATTCAGCAAATATTTAACACTTACTGTATTTAAGATTAAATCTATTGTGAGAAACCATTAGTTTTAATTTCAGTTTAATAATGACTATTCGGAGTTGGGTGTGTGTGGGTTTTTTTGTTTTTGGTAATTTTCTTTCTCAAGAAGTAGCAGGGCTGACTTTTCCTCTAGTCTAGGAAGACTTGCAGGGCTACATGTGCTCTATTTTTGTTGTTGCTAATCCTCAGCAGAGGATATTTTTTCCTTTGCTTTTTAGAGAGTGGAAGGGGGAGAGAGAGAGAGAGAGAGAGAGAGAGAGAGAGAGAGAGAGAGAGAGATTGTTGTGAGAGAGACACATCAACTTGTTGCCTCCCGCACGGACACCCCTACCGAGGGCAGAGAGCGAACCTGCAACACAGGTACGTGCCCTTGCCAGGGACTCGAACCCACGACCCTTCGATGCGCGGGCCTCTGTTCCCACCAGCGAGCCACACCGTCCAGGGACCACATGTGCTTTTGAAAACAGAGACCGTGTCCCTTTTTTTATTTTTTACACCCCAGAGCCCATGAGTGTCTGGCACACACCGTTCAAAACAAGTTTGGTACCTGGAACCCACTGAGCCTACTGAATGCGTGTGTCCAGCAATGACTAACCACACGTGGTGGCCCCAGGGCGAATGCTGAGTGACAGCGTCTGCTCCGTCACCCGGCCTCACCCGCCTCACTTGTCGGGGCGTGGGGGTGGGGGGATTCCAACTGCACAAGAGCAGAATCTAACGGAATCGCTTTATTTGGATTGGAACCCCTTCGGGTGTGTTTCCTCTGCGGAGAGAGCACGCATTTACGGAACGTGGCGGTGTCTGCTCTGAAGGCAGCGTCCGACCTCGACAGACAGCTGGGCTGGTGCGAGGGTGCAAATCGGACCTCCTCCGCTGTGGGACCTGGCCCTAGGGGTACCCCTCGGGCGCATCGGTAAACTCACGGGTCACCTGGGCCTCTTTGTCTCCCCCAGTCCCTCTCTCCTCCTCGTGCCCCGCCGGGAGGCGCCTAGTCCTCCTCCACCGAGTCAGCCCCCGGACTCCTTCCAGCGCTGCCTCCTCCTCCGCCTCCCGCCCTTGACGGAAGCTCCCGATTGGCTCCTGCGCCGGGAGAAGACGCCCGCTGATTGGCCGGCGGGTCGTCATCACGAGGTGATGTGACACCGTGGGGCGGGGCGACTGTCCGCCCCGCCTGGCGCTCGGGGCATTTACTTTGCTTGCGGATCCAGGCTGCGTGTGTTGTAGTTCGGGCTCCCACCGGCCTCTCCCCGTCGGCGAGCGGGCCACGCACAGGAGCGGTGGGCCAAAAGGTTGGGTTGGGGTGCCGGGAGGGCTTCGGGTGCTGGGCAGGGGTGCAGGGCGAGGCAGG